AATTAAAAAAGAAATGAGTAAATGTCATTTGTATTGTAGTCCTTTTTCAAGGTGTAAGTAATTACTTTAACATTTTAGTGTATAAGATTTCTTCTTTTCCAAATAGAAATTTACTTGTAACAAAAATTAATATATTTAAATGTTATTTGAAAAGATGCCTTTCAGGGGCGCCTGGGTGGTGCAGTCGGTTAGGCGTCCGACTTCAGCCAGGTCACGATCTCGCGGTCCGTGAGTTCGAGCCCCGCGTCGGGCTCTGGGCTGATGGCTCAGAGCCTGGAGCCTGTTTCCGATTCTGTGTCTCCCTCTCTCTCTGCCCCTCCCCCGTTCATGCTCTGTCTCTCTCTGTCCCAAAAATAAATAAACGTTGAAAAAAAAAATTAAAAAAAGAAAAGATACCTTTCACCTTTTAAAGGTATGACACATGTTTTTATTTCATATGATGCTATATTTTTTATTGATTTATCAATTCTGTGCCATATTATAATAAAATTATGCTCATGACCTGTTTTACCACTATTTTGGAGTACTATTAGAGATTTCATTTTTTTCCAGTTTTCATTGTCATTGTTGCTAATGTTAGAAATTATGTTATGGTAAATATGCTTTATAACTAGGTCATTTTGTATAATTATAATTGTTACTTAGAGGTATTCATAGAGGCAGAATTGCTGAAACAGATGATCCATCAGTTTAAAACATGTTTCTACAGACTTTTAACACATTTTTGACAAAATTCTCTTCAGCAAGTGCTATATCAATGTGTATTTCTAGCATCTGTTTACATATTGTCCATTTCCAAATGAATTTCATCATATTTTAAGAATTTGATGGGCAAAAATGGTATTTCATTGTCTTAATTGGATGTTTGTTCTTAGATCAAACTCTAAATAATTTCTTTTTTAATGTTTATTTATTTTGAGAGAGAGAGTGAGAGTGAGAGAGAGCAGGACCAGGGAATGAGCAGAGAGAGAGGGTGAGAGAAAATCCCAAGCAGGCTCCACGCTGTCAGTGCAGAGCCCCACTCGAGGCTCAGTCTCACAAATGGGGAGATCATGACCTGAGCTGAAACCAACAGCCCAACACTTAACTGACTGGGCCTCCCAGGTGGCTCAGGTGCCCCTGAATAATTTCTTGTCCATTGAATTTATATTCATGCTATTCACATTTTTAGCCTGTTTTTTTCTTGATAATTATTTTTTAAAAACAAAATTTAAGTGTATTTTTTATATTCAAAAGCTATTAACATTTTATCACATGGTACTGATTTCTTCTTCAGTATTTATTCTCCAAATAGAAGTTTATCATTGATTTTTCTTTGCACTGTTTCCATATTCTTCCCATTAATATCTTTCTGTGATCTACAAGCAGTTGGTATATAATAATGCTAATAATGCCTTCATGATAGGGCATTGTAAGAACTGATTACAGGGCTTTATCAATTTTTAGGCAAGGGAGAGGGCAAAGGTTGTATACAACCCATCTTCGTCTTGTATGTGTGTAGTTCTCAATAGGAATTGAAGTAGACTAATACAATCTCTGTACCCCAGACACCTACAAAACTTCTTGCAGACACCCACAAAACTGCATATATTTTCTACCATGTGCTGTAGCATGAAGAACCTATTTGCTATTTCTTGTATATTCTTCACGAGCTTTTGCACTATTGTTTTATAGTTCAGACCCAGGGCAAGCAGCCAAACCTGGGTTTGAATTCAGGCTTCATTCTACCAGCTTCCTAGTTCAACAAAACCTCAGACTTCCCATCTATAAACTAGGGGTTAAGCAGTATCTATTGCACTGATAATGTCATAAGACTTAGAAGTCTACTCAATATGAGGTAACCAAATAACATGCACTTGATAAATGGCTATTATTATTATTTTTATCAATCAAAGCTAGTCAAATACTCCAGATGAAGTGTAGTACTATAACTGTTAGAGTCTAAATTATTACCTATTGTATCATTAACTTTATTTTGTGTTACCTGTGTTCCTTCTGTAGAAAAACATTATGAAAAGATATTCAAGTGTTTAAGGGCACGTTTTTTTGACAAATTTTATAGGAATAAACAAAAAAATCTTACTGATTTAAATGTTATAAAGAATAGTAATGAATATTATGCTTATTTTAAAAAATCATAACAGGGGCACCTGGGTGGCACAGTCGGTTAAGCGTCCGGCTTCAGCCAGGTCACGATCTCGCGGTCCGTGAGTTCCAGCCCCGCGTCCGGCCATGGGCTGATGGCTCAGAGCCTGGAGCCTGTTTCCGATTCTGTGTCTCCCTCTCTCTCTGCCCCTCCCCCGTTCATGCTCTGTCTCTCTCTGTCCCCAAAATAAATAAACGTTGAAAAAAAAATTAAAAAAAAAAAACATAACAAAGAGGTAGTATGTTAATCTTAAATAGTAAATAAATCCCTGATTTATTTATTTATTTATTTATTTATTTATTTATTTATTACTATCTTAATAAAAGTCCAATTAAATGAAATATTTGATAGAAATAAATGACTATAAAACATTTAGGAAATCTGTATGTTTATATTAACAAGAAAAAGAAAAATGTTACATACATTTTTAGCAGTCACAGTTGAGCTAATTATAGATAACTTACACATTTGAAACAGTAATTAAGCCAAAGTCATTATAAATTTATTCACATTATACTTTTCCAAATTTCTGTCTCAATACTTTTACTTGTGGGATGTTATTTCCTACTGATAATACTCAATATAAAAATTTGATAATTTTTTTAAAAAATTTTTTCATGTTAATTTATTTTTGAGAGAGAGAGAGAGAGAGAGAGAGAGAGACAGAGAGAGAGCGCATGCATGTGCTCACGCACAGGAGGGACAGAAAGAGAGGGAGAGAATACCAAGTGGGCTCAGCCCTGTCAGCGCAGAAACTGATGCAGGGCTCGAGAGATCATGACCTGAGCCAAAATCAAGAGTTGGATGCTTAACCGACTGAGCCACCCAGGTTTCCCTTGATAATGTTTCGTATTCTTTGCATCTAATGTTTGACATTAGCCGAAGAGCAGATGTACATTTGGAGGCTACACATTCAGAAGTTGAATTTTAATGAGTATTAAGTTATAAGATTACATTTCTCAAATATTTCTCCTTGCTCTTTGTATACAGTGTCAAAACCATATATTGGAAGAAGGTAGCAGCCCAGTCATTGGGTATATAAATGGGTAGGTGCAAATACATAAGGGAGAAGGGGGATATCTGTGAGTTAATGCAATGAAATATCTATGACATATAAATATTTATTATTATTTTGTTATAAATGGAATACAGAAAGGTAGATAATGACTTAAACAGTCACAGTTAACATTGCACAGTAAAAGACTGGATTTCCTGATAATATTGCTAAATTCACCAAATTACTGACAAGTTATTTTCAAACACATTTGGCATTATTCTACATTATGGTAGAATAGTAATGACAGTAACAATGGGTATCTAAAAAGAAATACACTTTGATGAGACTTGTCAATCTTTAGACACTTATGGAAACACAAGGAAAAAATGTGATAATCCACTTTATCGACTACTTCAGTTTACTTTACTATTTAGAATATCTGTGCAATAACAGCAGAGAAATATCTCCTTTAAAGCTGTATTATATTTTCAAGGTTGGTCTTTAAGGAATTTCAGAATAGGCATAATTGTGATACAAATAAGAGAATGTGAATTTTCTATCAAATAAGTATTTGCAGTTGACCTACATGAGAACAGACTTTTCTAATTGCTTTAAGAGCTTCTTGACTAAAGAAATGAAGAAAGTTACTCTTTTATGAAAATGTTGTAATGCTTATACTCAAATCCTCTGTGATTTTTAAAAATCAGTATTTAATCAGCATACTAATACAATTGTAAACCAAAAATTACTTATTACATTATAATTTATTGTTTTCAAAAATTGTGACCAGGGGTGCTTGGGTGGCTATTGGTTAAGCGGTTAAGCCTCCAACTTCGCTTCAGGTCATGATCTTGCCATTCATGAATTTGAGCCCCGCATCTGGCTCTGCTGACAACTGGATCCTGCTTTGGATTCTGTGTCTCCCTCTCTCTCTCTGCCCCTCCCCTGCTCATGCTCTGTCTTTCTCTCAAATATAAATAAATATTGAAAAAATTTTTTTAAAAATTGTGAAGTCTTTTTAATTCTTTTTTTTTAAATGCTTATTTATTTTTGACATGGAGAGAGAGACAGAGCATGAGCAGGGGAGGGGCAGAGAGAGGGAGACACAGAATCTGAAACAGGCTCCAGGCTCTGAGCTGTCAGCACAGAGCCTGACGTGGGGCTTGAACTCACAGACCACGAGATCATGACCTGAGGCAAAGTCGGACACTCAACCGACTGAGCCACCCAGGCGCCCCAGTCTTTTTAATTCTTGTGTGTGTGTGTCTGTCAGGTGTATCAAGCTACATTTTAATTTTTTTTTTTTGATATTTATTTTTCTTTGAGGGAGAGGGAGACAGATTGTGAGCGGGAGAGGGGCAGAAAGAGAGGAAGACAGAATCCGCAAGCTCCAGGCTCTGAATGGTTAGCACAGAGCCCGAAGAAGGGCTTGAACTCGTGAATGGCCAGACCGTAACCTGAACCAAATTTGGAGACTTAACTGCTTAACTGACTGAGCCACCCAGACGCCCCGTGATTAGCCTTAATAAGCTTTATTGCAGTAATTTGTGTTGCCCAGAATTTTCTTCGTTTCAAAACTGAAAGTTCCATGTCCTGAGAATGTCAGCTTGGTCACAGGTCATTTAAATACATGTTGCCATAAATACACAAGATAACAAAATAAAACCAAGAATGCACCTGTTGATATGAGTCTTAAAATTTTGAATTCATATTAAAAAGGGCAAAATTGATTTAATTATGCTGGTTCTAAGACTATAGTGTTTGTCCAAAGTATGTTTAAAAGAAAAAAAAATGAAGTGTGTCTTAATATAGGTTATAACAATGATCAAAATTTACCTTAATAAATAAGATACTTACTTCTGTAAAAATTCTTCATAGCCGCATATACTTAGAAGATGATCTTTGGGGAATAATTCGTCATTTGTAGAAAAATGTAGAACCTCTGCAATTAGGTCTTTGACAAGATAATTAGCTAAAAACAAAGGTGAATAATAAAAAGTTAATAAGAGCTTATCATATATTGGCTGGGGAAAAGGTTTTGAGCAAAAAAAGATACACACATTATGAACTATAACTGTCTAGCTCCATCAAGAGGAATTAAAATGAGATGCATCTCATTTATTAGTCTCATTAAATTTGGAGGTACTTTTGAAAATACTGTTTGCATTTTATTTGATCAATCTGTCTTCACATTACTGATGGAGCCTGGTATTGTTTTCCTCATATTAAAACCTGAATATGCTGTGGCTCTGCAGAAAAAGTGTTCTACCCTGAGTGCTCACAGAGACTTGGGAAATGCCAAGGACATTGTATAGTGAGTGATAGTGGCAAGCGAAGAGTCCAACCTAAATCTGTCAGATTCCAAAGCTTGTGCTCTTGATGATTCTAAGTCTCCAAAGTTTATTGTTCTTCCTTCCCCATGTAGGAATCACCAAAGTTTCCATCTTGGACAGCATTGTGATAACTTTAATGAGCATGTGCTTTTTTTCTACACTTTCTCTGGAGCTCAAAGTGTAAGCATACTGTTGGATACAAATCCTTTGGCTTTACATTCTGTAATCTCCCCACTAAGCTCTTACATACATATGCTACTTAGTAGTGGCCAGCACCGCACTGAGTTTACAGTAATGGTTGTCTATGAAATAGTGCAGGGCTCATTTACTATCATAAATGATAATAGTTGAAAATTGTGTGTATATATATATATCTCCATGCTTTGAATGTGAATTCATGGTCGCAGTCAACGAAGAAAGTAAAAACGGACTGTACTGATGACCATTAATCAGAATTTGAACAGCATATTGCAAACACTCAGTTGTATTCATCTGAGTTGTATTTAGTTTGCCATTATCTGTTTACTTTGCTGTCTTCTTTTTCTGCCATACCCTTCTGTTTGGAAAAAATGTTTTTGACACAAACTGGCTAACAAAATGTAGTGCAATTGGTATTGCCGAATCTGCCACAAAAAAAGGTGGCGGGGGGGGGCGGCGGGGAGAATAATACTGGATTTAAAAGTGTGGGTTTTTACATTTTTTAAAGCTTGTTTATTTATTTTGAGTGAGAGAGAGAGAGAGGGAGGAGCAGAGAGAGAGGGAGAGAGAGAGAATCCAAAGCAGGCTCCTTCTCAGTGTGGAGCCCAACGTGGGGCTCAGTCTTCCAACCACAAGATCATGACCTGAGCTGAAATCAGATGCTTAACTGACTGAGCCACCCAGCCGCCCCTAAAAATGTGGGTTGTATGATAGGTCAAGGTATTTTCTAAGAAATGGCTAGAGAAACAAATGGTAAAGATAATCATGGAATTAAGGGTTGTGGAAATGCTTTGACATGGGAGAGAGTTATCTTAAACACACTATTGCTTGGGAATAATGACTGAAATAGTATGATTGCAACTAGAAGAAAATATGGCCACAGCAAAATCATGACTATAAGAGCATTGACAAGGAGGGGAGAAAATTGCCAGTATATAATGGCAGGAAAATATCTCCGGGGATACCAGTTCATTTTAATTAACTTGACTCTCCCATTTCCAGGCTACATCCCCTGTGCTATAGGGGGCATGCATGAAATCATTATTTCACTACATCTTTCCACTCTGCATGGTAGACTCCATAATCCAATTTCTACTATTACTTCTCCCCTGTGCTTCAGCTTAATTATCTCCTACTATCTGTTTCATGTTACTCTTTGAATGTTTCATTATTACTTCAAATTAGGCATATTTAAACCTGAAATTATCATCTTTCTCCTTGAAGTCAACCATTAAGTGTCTATGATTAAATTTCTCATCCATATTGTAAGTGAACAAGTACTATGACCTCTTTTAAGTAGATTTTATACTTGTACCTTCAGTTTGGCAGCTAATATAATACTTTCCCCAATTTCTTGTACTCTTCCACTTTATGCAGCCCTTCTCAATCTGTTGACTATATTGCCTACCATATAGAAGAGGCTAATGCCCATTTGAGATTCTTTAATTAACTACCTGTGCATTAAATCTAGTCTTTTACACATCATTCTCTACCTCTTTACACATCTTGTGAGATATAAGTATTTTGACTTTTTTACTATATCCTACTTCTTAATCTCAGATTTTTCCTACCCTAGGTTCTATTTCCATCAGTTAAATCCCCTATTTTTTATTTAAAGAAATTAATGTTTATTTATTTTTAAGAGAGAGAGAGAGAGAGAGAGAGAGAGAGAGAGAGAGAGAGAGAGAAAGTGGGGGAGGGGCAGAGAGAGGGAGACACAGAATCTGAAGCAGGCTCCAGGATCTGAGCTGTCAGTCCAGAGCCTGATATGGGGCTCAAACTTGTGAACAGCTCATGACTTGAACCAAAGTCATATGCTTAACCAACTACACCACCCAGGCACCCCTACCCTTTCTTTTATATATTCAATATTCTCCATGGTAAAGATGATTTTGTTTTTTCTTAAAATTTTTGTTTTTTCTTAAAATAAAATCTCCCCTTACACATTTCATTACATTAAGACAGTATTTTTTTTAACCTTCCCAATATTGCCAAACTTCTTAGTAGATAACTTTTACAAACAGTTGTAAATCACTCTTTAATCTTTGCAAACTGGTTTCTACTTCCAACACTTTGCATGTCATAAATGGCCTCCTAATACAGTTCTGACCATGCATCATCTAAATCTAAAATGTAGTTGAAAGTAAAGACTCTCTAGAGAAACTTTGTACTTGTAAATAAGGACACAGGAATCATCTTCATTGAAATGATGGCTGAAGATTGTGGAACACAGAATTCTTTGCTTAAAACACCTACTTCTCTAGAAGGATTCTATTTCTTCACTCGTGGGGAAACAGTATTCTTTTTGGATGAAAATGCCTTATCCTCATCCATCTTGTCCTCTTTATTGATCTAGATTTCATTATTCTCTAAATTTCTAGCAACAACATCTTTTATTGAAGTCATTCTTGATATACTCTTCATACACTATTTTGTTCTTTAGAGCACATCTGTATTTACTAGTAAAACACTTAAAGTGGTGAAAGGATCACAGTTTTAGCATAAAGATGATTTCATAGTGAAGGTATTTGAAATCTTATCTGAACTTTTATTATCTGACTAAAGCAGAGACTCCCTAAAATACAGCTTCCACTAACTTCCTTCTGAGGGAATTTCCTATAAATTTCAGGAAGGAGACAGATTGCCCATCCACTAGATGGTTCCTACTTTCTTAGTGAAGCTCTAACTGACACACCTCAACATACACACATATACACGCTTTTACATTAAATTGGTATATAAACCTTTACCTCTGGGTATTCAGCAGGTTACTCATTATTGAGTAACCCCTCCATGGATATGTAAATAACCTTGCCTTTTCTCCTATTAATCTATTGTCAGTTCTGTCACAGCCACCACCCTCATCCCCTTCAAATATAAGTAGATAGGGGAAAAATTTTCCTCTAACAGTGGCACACACTCTGTATGTTTTCATGAAGGTGTCCTTTCCTTCTCTGCTTCTTCCCTCTTTTTCTCCTGTACTTCACCCCTTCCTCCTCCTCCTCTTCCTCCCCCTTGTAAATATCCTTGACAGCGCAGACATCCTGTTTACTACTATACATCTCTAACACTAAACACAATGACCTAATCACTTTCCTGAAACTTCTCATAAAAGTCAGAAATGGCCTCCAACTGGCCAAATTCAACAAAAGAACATGCAGAGACAGAGAGAGAAAGAAATGTTAGAAATTAAATACTGTAAATTAGAAGAAGAGAAGTGGTCTCCCTAGTTTACAGTTACTCCCCTCTTCTCCAGCAACTGATGGATGCCAAGATGATACAGATTGTGATTGACTCAGGGTTCAACACCACTGATTTTGGCTGGGCAATCAGAATCTTGCTTTTTAGAAATTTGGAATTGGATCTAATAGAGAGATTAAATTTTCTGTAGGTAACTGGCCAAATAGCATTTAAGCTTGAGAACTTGGCTTTCCATATGTTCTGGAAAAGCAAGGGAAATGAGTCAGCAGTAAACAAGGGAAACATGAGAAGCAATTATATAGAAGAGATGAGGTGAGATGCATACAGGAATTTTGGACTGCTTGTTCATCTGTGCCTTTAGTACGTTCCTGAATCTGCTGAATTCTTACTCTTAAATTCTGTAAGAAATCCCTATATTCTTTAAGAATTTTTTTTTCTTTGTAAGGAAGCAGAAGTTGGTTTTTGTTAGTTTCAGACCAGATGGTCCTAACTAAATATTCCAACATAACATTGCTGTTTGTAGCCATCTGTACTAACTCAGAATCTTGACTAGAGTAAGAAAAAAAAAAACAAAGTAATAATAATATTAATAACAATCAATAAAAGAAAATATTTGTTATTATTTGCCAAGAAAAAATAGCTCATATGTAGAAACTCATTAGTAGAAACTAATGTTTAAAGAACTATTATTGTTTTGCAAAATAGTTGACTATAACAGTGAAATATTAAACTTTGGGGTGCCTGGGTGGCTAAGTTGGTTGAGAGTCAGACTCTTGTTTTCGGCTCAGGTCATTATACCAGAGTCATGGAATCAAGCCCCACGTTGGGCTCTGTTTTGAGTGTGGAGGCTGCTTGAGATTTCTTGTTCTCCCTCCCTCTTTATCTCTCCCCAGCTCATGCTCTCTCCCCCTTTCTTTCTCTAATATATATCTATCTATATCTATATCTATATATATATTATATCTATATTATATCTATAACGCATATTATACACAATATAATATATATTATACATAATGCATATATTTAATATATATATTAAAATTATTAAACAACTTTAAAGAGATTCTAAAACTCTAGAAAAAAAAAAAGAATCATCTGATGAGTTTGATAAGATGCAGAATCCAGGTTCCAGGATTCATCCCCAGAGACTGATGAATGGATCTGCTCATTATTCATAAGGCTCCTATACTTCCTACAGTGAGAATAAAGACTATGTATCAATGCCTATTATTTACATTCGAATGACATAGTTGTTTCTAATGGTTAGTATTGCCATTTTCATATATATATTCATTCATTTCATTCATATGCTTTATCTATAATCTTTTTGAAATTTAGTTTTGTTTTTAATATGCCAAAAATTTGTTATACTTGCCATCGGGTATTACATAGTAGGAAAGTAAAGTGTTCTGGGGTGAGCTATATGAAGAGAGTTCTTAAAAACAATAGCTCAACAAATGTTCACAAAAGGTTTCCAGCTATTTTCCTCTTAACTCCAGTTTAGGGCAAAATACTAGCGTTTAATAATACTTCTTTTAATGCTTTCAGTCTGTGGACTCAAGGCTGTGCAGCCTATTAGCTTTGTGTAGATTTTTATATTTATTTTGCAAGGTCGCTTACCGTATGGCTTAAAATGAAGTCGTTGTGTTGAGTTATCAATACAAATATTTATATTAAACTTAGTGTTAGAAAAAAGCTGACATGGAAATGCTGCAGTAGCGCTCCAGATCTTCCCTGAATTCGAATTAATGTCAGCTGCATGATATGTTTCTCTTATCCTGAAAAATATATGGGAAAAAATACTTAGGAGAGATTGTAAGAAACTTCATGTTCAGTTTGCTTTAGATTTAAAATATGGAAACAATCAGCACGTGATTGGTGGTACAGTGCTATTAACTAGGCCAGATTGGTAAAGATTACAATTATACCAAGACAACCATAAAAGGACTGTTCTTTAGATTTCCCCAGGAGCATCTCATTTGAAGCAATTAAGAATATATTGGCATTTATCAGGCATGAAAACTGACTCTGAATCATGAAGACTTCCTTCATTGACATTAATTTTGAAGCTGAACACCTCCCCTTGGTTTTTGCTAACTTTCTCAAGCAGGAAGTCACTCATTTTGATTTAAGGATTGGATATCTTGTTTGTGTTCCATTGGTAAATACCATTCTTGGCTCAAAATTTTTGGTTTTTACACAAATCTCTGGATTTTACATAAGTAATTTAGCCCAAAAGACATTTGCACAAACTGAACAATTCCTTCTTGCTCCAGTGAGTCAGAGAATTGCAAAATAGTTTATCCTTGGAGCCAGAAGCCTTGAGTTTGAATGCTGACTCTTCCCTTTAGTAATTTTATTGTCAGAGGCAAGTTATTTGATCAGTTCCTTTGATTGTACAATTAAGGATATTTATATCTACTTCAAAGGTTTATGGCAAGGATTACAAGTGAAAACGCATGTGAAAGAGTTTCGTAGAATGGAAGCATATACCCATGTGATGTATCATAACTATCATATATTATTATAGCTGAATCCCTTTTGATTCATGTTATTACCCACATGTAGAATATAACATAAGATTATTTGCAACTTAGATATTTAAAATGCCTTTGATAATGAATATGAAATTATGTTTTTTTGTTAATTGTTCAGACATCTAAATTTTGTAGTGCTATTCCTGAAGAGAACATTATACGTTCTGTATGTAGAATGTATGTCATACATTCGATGTAATGTGTCAATAGGAATTACATCCTTAGCATTCATTCTCTTTGTGCTGCATTAAAGTAGTGCCATGCTCACTGAGATAGCTTAATTTCTATGCTGTTAAATTCCACAGAAACAGCCCCTTATTGAGGGGCCTGATAAATGAAAAAGTGCATGGGCTGGTATGTGCCAGAATCACCTATTTCTGAGTCCCATCCTCATATTTGCTGATTCAATAGATCTGTGGAGGAATCTTCACTTCCCCTACTAACAGTTTTCCAAGTAAGCCATTACTGCTGCTGCTCCATAGCTACAGTTTGAAAACCCATTGTTCAGGATAAATACTTGGGCGTCTCTCCTCTCTTATACCCGAGGATAAAGGTCTAGACTCCAACTTCTGGTGGAGGAGTTTCATGATTTAGTATTCACCATATGATAGGATACTATTCCACACATACATGATTTAAGCTTCTCCTGTTTTTCAGGAAATAAATTTAAAATGCAAATTTATGACCTATTCTCTCCTAAAACTTTGCTGAGCATCTACTGTGGCCAGAACTTTGCATATGCTATGCCATTTTATTGTATTTTTTACAAAAATATGACACGTTGCTTGAAAGATGTGGCTTAAAAGCATGTCAAAAAAAGAAACCAGATCCAACAAGTTAGAGACGCTCTTTAAAGGGTATATAACAGGAATATTACAAACATTTTAGGTATGTTTAAATATTAAATAAAAACAGACTAAACTGGATACATAAATCCATTCTATTATGACCCTCTTAAAAAACCTGGCTTTCAAACTCAATTTGGTCTTCTTTTGAATTAAGAGGGGTTGGACAGTGCCTAGTCATAGTAGATCTTCAATATGTTGTTGTTGGATGAATAGTATGTGTAAAAAATAATTAGGCATTTATAAATTTAATCATTTTATATATGAGCATACATCAAAAAGGATTATTGAAAACCAAGATAAGTATGTGTAAATATAACCTATCTCTTCCTTTCATTACACTAAAGTTTATTATTATTTGGTCATCTGTTTTAGTTTCATGGTTACTTTGAAAGGAACCATTGAGAAAAATTACATTTAGGAACTCAGAAAATGCACCATGAGCTAGTGACAAACCATCACATAAAGTATTTTGTGTCACTATTACATCCACAAGAAGACTTCATCTGAGAATATTACATTATGTTAAAAAAGGAAGTGATGGGAAGGACTAGTAATAAGTGTTTTGTCAATGGATTTATACTGAGTGATATTTTGTGATATTAAGATGAGCTATTGCTCATGCTTAATGGGTAGAAATGATCATATCTTAGATATAAAATGTCAAGTTCCTGGCAATGCTTGTCAGTTTGTGACAGTGAGTAGTTTATTCCTAAAAGAATCAATATTGATATCTTTAAAGATGCTAATTTAGCAATCCAAAGAGTCATTTTATTTTTTTTTTCTGTGAGCAAGAGTGAGACATTAATTATTAAATATTTTCATGGATTTGAGCTGCTAGGTTTAGTTTAGTTTAGTTTAGTTTTTTTGTCTGTATGCCTTTCAGTTCTTCCAGCAGGGTTACAAGCTTTTTAGGACAGAGACCTTGCTTTTCTGTTTGTTTGTTCCACTTTTGAATCTCTCTCATGCATGGACTTGTTATTAGTCATTCAAATAGCCTTTAAATTAATTATTAAATAAATGATTCCAGTCTTTAGTCCCAAATGCTCATTTAGCAGGAAGCTGCTATAGCTGATAAATAAGTTAAAGTTTATTTATATGTATATTTATTATTTTTATAGTAGCTATAAATAGATAAAAATTAAGAGAAGGAAAATGCATGAATTTTTCAAAGCTTTTGGGAACCCTAGCAGCAGAAGAGATGGGCTTATATAAATTTTAACTGCTAATAAGAAATTGGTCTTAAAAAACAGAAGCTAGCTTTATATTATAAGTTCATTTTAAATAAGTAAAAAGGGGACCAGTGATGTTTTTGTAATATCCTCTAATGAACAAATTAGTTTTTCAATGGACAAACACCCATGCATTTGTTCATTATTCTGGAAATTCATTCAAGGTAAGATTGAGTTATTAAAAGGAGGGCAGTCTCATCATTCTAAATAGTGTATCCCAGGTAGGAAGGATAAATCTATGCTAATTTGGGACAGAGCCAGAGAAGTCAGTCAGTTATGCCATTAAATAAGAAATTAATTCACTGCAAACTAAACTGTCAACAAATAGCAAGGGCAGGTCTGAAATCATTAAACATTTAACTTTAACTGAATTATCAAGAAAATAAAATGATTTGACTAAAAACAACAAAAACAATACTAGAAGTTAATCAATGAACTAATTTGTCATGAATTTATATTTTTCACTGTTAAAATATATAAAACTTTAACATTTTGTATTCAAAATTAATCAGTTCAGTGCTGTTATAAAATAGACAAATTTATGCCGGCACAGAAATTTCAAAGGTTCATGAAATAGCAAGACTCACTTTTTTACTTTGTCGCAGAAGGAGGCCAGACTCTTATTACTGCCTTGAGGTACTTCAACCAGCTGAATAGAACAACCTGTCAGCTTAAAATAAAAACTGTCAAATTAATATGGTTTGATGTGGAGAAAACATTAATACAATTCTACATTTTTAATTTTGTTTTAAAGAGTCTGTCCGAAGGGCACCTGGGTTGTCTCAGTGTTTGACTCTTGGTTTCGGCACAGGTCAGGAGCTGGCATATTTGTGGGTTCAAGCCCCACATCAGGCTCTGTGCTGACAGCCTGGAGCCTGCTTAAGATTCTTTCCCTCTCTCTCTGCCCCTCCCGCACTTGTACTGTCTCTGTTTCTCTCACAATAAATAAATAAACTTAAAAAAAAAAGATTCTGTCCGGAAGGAAGAACTTCCCATCCTATGGTCCTTCTAGCTGGATTTATTTTTTTTTTAATTTTTTTTTTCAACGTTTATTTATTTTTGGGACAGAGAGAGACAGAGCATGAACGGGGGAGGGGCAGAGAGAGAGGGAGACACAGAATCGGAAACAGGCTCCAGGCTCTGAGCCATCAGCCCAGAGCCTGACGCGGGGCTCGAACTCACGGACCGCGAGATCGTGACCTGGCTGAAGTCGGACGCTTAACCGACTGCGCCACCCAGGCGCCCCGTTCTAGCTGGATTTAGAATCAGATTGACGTGAGACAGATTAACAGGAGAAAATCAAATTTAACAGGCATATATATGTATGTATGGGGAATCCACACAAGAGATTCCAAAGACAATGAGGCAACTTGAAGCTTATTTGAGCTAAAGAGACTGGTAGGAGTCTGCGAACACAAAGGGGAGGAAAGCCATTCACAAGAAGATGAAAAGATGTGTTTGAAAACAAAGGTTGCCTTATTTTCTAGATAAATTCCTTGGGTAAAGGGGAGTCTCTGTTAATAATTCTCTTCTTTCCAATGTAAATTCAGGCAATTATGAGGGAAGCAAAGTTTTTCCTGCATCTGCTGTGTATTTATTACTTTCAACTTGAAATAAACTTTATGCCCAAGTGGCACACTTTGGGTTATCCCATCCTACATCCCTTCAATTCATTCTGTATTTATTTATTTATTTATTTATTTATTTATTTATTTATTTATTTATTTATGTGGATTTTTTAGGTGAGGTAATGCATACAGAAAAATGCATGAATCTTAAGTAATATAAGTTTTGAGGAATGTATACAACTGTGCTATCAACAGCACAATAAAAATATAGAACATTTCCATCACTTTAGAAAGTTCCCCCACATCTCCTTCTATCAAACTACATTTATTTGGTAACTACTATTCAGATTATTCAGATTTCTAACATCATAGATTAAGTGTGTGTGCTCCTTTCTGGTTTCTTTCACTTAAATGATATATATTTTTAAATTTTTCTATGTTGTCACACATCAGTTGTTCATTTTTTATTGCCAATTAGTACTATTCTATTGATGAATATTTCACAGTTTCATAATTTGTTTATCTATCTTCCTGTCAATGGACATTTGGGGTGTTCATAGTTTTTATAAGGAAAACTATTAATTTTTACATACAAGTAGGTATAAGGACCTGTGTTTTATTTCTTATGAAAAAATCCGTAAGTGACTCAGTCAGAAGGTGGGTACATGATTAACTTTATATGGAGTCATTTTTGTTTGTATATATTGAAGCTATTATTAGGTACATAACATTTACATTTGTTGTATTTTGTTGTAATACATTACATTTGTTGTATTTTCCTGATGAACCTTGTTGTCATTAAGAAATGACCCTTTTCTTTAATAATGCTCTGCCTTGAACTGTACTTTTTCTGGTATTAATTAATAATAATAATAAAATAGAGCTTTTTGTTTGCTGATCAAAGGCTACATCTTCTGTTTCATTTATTTTCAACTTATTTGTGCCTTTCTTAAGTTCATCTGTTGTAGTAGTAGTTACATTTCTTTTATCTAGTTTGTCAATTTTTCTCTTTTACTTAGAATGTGTAGTCCATTTATTGAGTATATTTATGGATATTATTGGATTTAAGACTGCCATATTCATTTTGTTTCTATTTGTTTATAATTTATTTTTCTATTTTTACTTCCCTTCCTTTTTGGTTTATTTGATTTTGTTTTCTTATTTAATTCTGTTCGATTTTTAGTTTTTCTTCTCAGTATTATTTTTTTTAATAGCTATACTTAGAAATGACTATATGCATCCTTAACATATCATGGTGTACTTAGAATTAATACTGTACCAATGCAGTTAAAATGAATGTAAGAATTCATAATAGCTAATAATGTTTACCCCTTCCATCCTTTATGCTAGGTTGTCATGTATTTTTCATCTCTCTATATAAAATAACTCTCAGTTAAATGCTGTTGTTTGCTTTAAACAACTATCAAAATTTAAAAGTAGTTTTTCCTATTTTTCTAATATATTTACCATTTTTACTGCTCTTTTTTCATTTTTAGATTCCATCTGGTGTCATTTTCCTTGTACTCAAAGCACTTTAGTATTTTTGTGTGCATGTTAGCTGGCTAATTTCTCTCAACATTTGTTTATATGATATCTTTATTTTATTTTATGTTTTGAAGTATATACTCAATTGATACAAAAGTATAGATATACATACATACATATATATGTATATTTTTGTGTGTGTATATAAATATGGATATATATCCTTTAAAATGTCGTTCCATTGTTGGGGTACCTGAGTGGCTCAGCTGATTAAGCATCAGATTCTTGATTTCGGCTCAGGTCGTGATCTCACGGTTCCTGAGATGAGGCCCGTGTTGGGCTCTGTGCTAACAGTGCAAAGCCTGCTTGGGATTCTCTTTCTCCCTGTCTCTCTCTGCCCCTCTTCTACTTGCAGGCATGTGCTCGCTCTTGCTTTCTCTCTCTCTCTCTCTTTTCCCAAAATAAATAAATAAACTTAAAAAATAATTTTAAAATGTCATTCCATTGTTGTCTTGCTTCCATTGTTTCTGATAGAAATTTGCTTTAATTCAGATTATTGTTCTGCTGTGTGAAATGTTTTCCCTCTCTGCTCTCTTTTAGGATTTTCCTTTACCTTTTGTTCTCAGGTATTTGAGCATGATTTGTCTACATGTGATTGCCTTTGTATTTACTCTGTCTGAGACTTGTTCAGCTTCTTAGATCTATACTTTGACATTTTATACCAAATTTGAGAAATGGTCAGACCATTATTTCTTTAAGTTGGTTTTCCTATTTTTCCTCTCCTCTCCACTAGCATTCCAAAATTGTCCATATTATCAGCTTCCTTGTCACATAAGTTTGAGTCCTTGCTCATTTTTGTATAATCGTTTTATTTTCTCTTCTTTAGTTTGGATAATTTTTCTTATTTTTCTTTCAAGTTTACTATCTTCCTCTCTGTTATCCTCTATATGTTTTTAGTACACCTAGTGATTTTTCCATTTCAGATACTGTGTTTGCAGTACTAGAAAATGCATAGTCTTTATTTTTTTGTAGTTTCTAGCTTCCTCTTGAGATTCTTCATTGGTCTACTCATTATGTCCATCTTTTACTTTATCTACTTCAACAGTGATAACCACCTTAAAGTCTCTGTTAATTTCAACATCTGAACTATGTCAGGATCTCTTTGAATTGACTGGGTTATTTTCTTGATTGTGGGTCAAAATTCTCTGCTTCTTTACATATCTGTGCATCTATTATTATATGTTCAGCATTATAGATGACACACTATAAATTGTGTTGTCTTTTTTACAAAGTATACAGTTTTTCCCTGGAAGGCAGTTAAGATCTTTTTGGTCTCTTTAGCCTTTATTTTATTTTTTGTTAGGCCATATCTATTTTGGCAGGTGCAGCATTCACTCTAGAGTATATGTTTAACACTCTTAAGTGCTAGCTTTGGGTATGGGGTGCCTGGGTGGCTCAGTTGGTTGAGCGTCCGACTTTGGCTCAGGTCACAATCTCATGTTTCATGAGTTCGAGCCCCGTGTCAGGCTGTATGCTGACAGCTCAGAGCCTAGAGCCTGCTTTGGATTCTGTGTCTCCCTCTCTCTCTGCCCCTCCTCTGCTCATGCTCTGTCACTCTTAAAAATAAAGAAGTAAATAAACGTAAAACAAAACAAACAAAAAGAGATAGCTTTGTGTAATCTCAATTGAATGCCTGAACTACTACTCAGCTCAGTGCCTTCTCTTGCTAGGTTAGAATTAGAACTTATACTACATAACTTGTACTTGTGTGTGCTAAACACAACCACTTGTCCAAAAACCTACAGTAAATCTCATACAGGTTTCTGACTCCCGCCCATTGCATACCTCCGCTGGCACTCCGCCTGGAACTGCAGGCTGTGCCTGCTCAAACTTAGCGATATTGCTGCTCAGACTGGGCTTTACTAGCCTGCTCTGCAAGCAAGAAAATGCCCCCATGAGGAAGTGAGGATGATGCAACACTGCGGTGTTTATCAAAATGATAAACTTTGGTAAAGTTGACCTCAAGGACGGTGTCCTATACAGCCTTTTTGTTCAGTATCTGAAATCAGGAGAAGTTATATTCTAAGTTATATTTTGCCTTGATCATAAATAGATGTCCCTAAAATTCATTGACTTAAAAATTTTTTTTAATGTTTATTTTTAAGAGAGAGAGGCAGAGTTTGAGTAGGGGAGGGGCAGAAAGAGAGGGAGACAGAATCTGAAACAGGTTCCAGGCTCTGAGCGGTCAGCACAGAGCTTGACGCAGGGCTCGAACTCATGAGCCATGAGATCATGACCTGAGCCAAAGTTGGCTGCTTAACATACTGAGCCACTCAGGTACCCCAAATTCACTGACTTTTAATTCAGATCAGTTGAGTTGCTACCTCCTCTCAAGTGCCTCAGAATTAGGTATTTCCTCTCCTGTGAACTCATTCTATCTGTTATTTTACTCTGTTGCCATTATTTGTTGGCAAGTTAATTTGAGCAATATGCTATTTCTGAATTCAAGTGTCATGTCATTTCTTTGCATTCATTATGCCTAGTATATCATGTATATTTTAAGAATATGATGGTTGTTGAATAAATGAGGAGTCCTTTTGCTTCACCCTGTAAATTATGGCTGCAATAATGTTTCATTTTTTTTTACTGTTTACTTCCAGTTTCGCTTGTGTCTAGACTTAGTGTAAGCAGAGAAATATTCAAATATTATACAAGAAACTCTGTGGTAACTAAATTGATTGGAGAACTACTGATGAAACCATTAGGATGAAGTGCACAATTATTGCTTAATTTCCTACTCTTGGAATGATCCCAATAGATGTTGCCTGCCAACAGCATAATTTAGGAGTCTCTGGGTAAAAGGACATTTTTCCTACCATAATGCTATAAAGTTTTAATTTATGACAGTATGACTCAAAAATATCAATCAAATGAGATGTATGTGTTTTTTATGTATGCATAATATTACAGTAAGAATCAAAATTACTTTTATCAAAATTTCCAGTTATATTTTTTATCAAATAAAATGTAAGGACTGTAACACTTTATTTAGTTTTGATGAAATTGGAACTTTAAAATGATGTACCATTTTAATTTTTTCTTCAGAAAAAGTCATTAATTTAGGAACACAGAATTTGTGAATAATAAATTATTTTTTTACAAATAATATCAATACGTTTTCCTATTAAGGTGAATGACCTTCACTACCAAATTAATCCAGTACATTATTGAATGATTTTTTCAGATTCTTTTTTTTTTTTTTTAGGCCAACATATGTGATACATACATACCTCTGTATTCTCTGGCTGTGTACTTTCCCAGGTCCTGGGTGGAAAAGAACCTTCAGAAAGCATCAGAGAATGTTTCACAATGTTCATGTTTCTACTTCTTTTATTCTCTTCTTTTGGCATGAAGTTAGTTGAGAAGGATGAATATGTAGAAGGGATGCTACTTTCAAATCCTATGTGGTAGTTATGATTTTCATTTTCTGATTCTCTCTGTGAATTAATTTTATCCAGACTAGTGGATGATGGAGCTGAAATATTTATTCTGTAATCATCACCCCCATGATATTTTCCTATGGGGTTTCCACAAGAGCTTTGTTTGTTCATATTTTCAGGATTTGGTAGCACAGAGCGCCTAAAACCAATTACTGGTGTTTTCCCAACTTGGTGACAGGAGAGTTCTGAGGTCTGAGAAGTTAATTCATTCAAGGGTATTTGGTGTGTTTCATGTAATGAATGCCTTGTTGAGTCCCAGTTTGGTGCATGGGGTACACAAACAGTGTTTTCTTCAATTTCACTCTGATAGAATGGAATTTTAATCCTGATCTCATCTACTAGCTGATCAAAACCCAGACTGACGTGGCTAGGGAAAAAGGACTGATTTACCGAGTGAAATTCTTGGTGCTCATGCTGCTCTTCATGTGATTCACTGGTATTTAGATCTGTTTTCCAACAATATGCCATTTTTAATTTTATGTAACTGAAAGGATTGATTCTGCTCCAGATATTGACTTGGTGATATTATGAAAGATGATAGGAATTTTCCTAGAAAAAGCATAAAAGAAAAAAAATTCTTCAATTAATGAGAAATAAAAGAACCTGCAAGAAAGGAATATGATGAATAAATATAAACAATTGTTTTGAAGCTTCTCCTTAGTAAATGAAATGATTCATGAATAATCTAAAACTCCATTAGGTTTCACAACATTAAAGTCTGTTGGGGGACTATTGACTTTAGATTTGTGAAACTCCTATAAGCAAAAAATAAGTCCACATGAATTATGACAGGAATTATGACAGGAATTTCATGAATCAATGAAAAGTCAAGGGGAATCCCTTTGAATTCCTTTACCTACTGAAGATCCGGTCATCATAGAATCATTATCTCCCTCTGTATTCAATCATCTACAAGCATGCTAGCATGTTAAAGTCTCTTATTAGCTAAACAGTCTCTTTGATGAGCAATTGCTCCATTCCTAGACATAGTTTTAACTTTTTTCTTTTTCCGTAACCAATTATCTTGTGGGTTGGCTAGACTCTTTCTTCCCCTTCCCAAAACTCTTTAAACAATTGCAAACTTCTTTCAGCTTCTCCAAAGTGACTTTTCATTAAATTCACCAAAAACTTCATGTCAGTAAATTCAGTTGACATTGGTCACTTTCTATTTTAATTTTCTCTCTACAATATTTGATTCCATTCACCATGCTTCTCACTTAAAAGTTTCTTGCTTTCTTACTTGGACTCTCTCTGATACTACACTCTCTGAATCCTTCTGTGTTTATTCTTTCTCAAAGACTCCTTTGCCTGTTACTCACTTTGCACCTGACCCTTGTCAGAGCTTCTTTACTTCTCAATTATTCTCTCCTTCTAAGTTATTTCATACTTCCTGTGGTTTAAAGTGCCATTTCTATGTTAATGGCTCCAGCCTTGACTATTTTTATTACTACCTTCTCAATATTTTCACTTGGAAATTTTTCTTGACCTCCAAAAGAAAGTCTATAACTTGGATCATAGTCATCCAAAAACCTGCTCCTATTCCAGTGTTCTCTGTGATGGAAAATGACTTGACCATCAACTCCGTTGCTTAGACCAGAAACCAGAGTTTCATCTTTAACTCTTCCCTCATTTTTATTCTTCAGTATAAAATGAACTGCCAGTTCCTGTAGGATATCTTGCTCTCTCTGTCTACCACCACCACGATCTTGGTCTAAAACTTTTTTCTTCTCTCCTGGAATGTGGTGTTATCTCTGAAACTACTTCTACATTTTCTGTATCCATTCCTTGTGTCCTATAATCCACTTTTAATATTTTAATGATATGTTTAAAAGACTCACCAAGTATCTCCTCTGGATATAGCTTTCCAGTGGTTTTAGTGCTGCCTTAGGATAACCTCTATAGATGTTACTTACGTAAGATTTCTCTTTCCCATTAATTAGATCATTAGACCATGTTAACCTTTCCCACTTATAGCTCAGTACCTAGAACTTTGGTTTACTCAGTAAACCAAAAGTTTGGTTTACTGCTTGTTTCTATTTGTTGAACAGATGATTTAATAAGTTACAAAATTATAATTGAGTTATAAGAAAATGAAATTAAAAAATATTTGTGTCACTCATATGAATTGATTAATTCCTTTCACTTTTATGAGTTTATTCCCTTAATAATTATTTATATGTGTTAAGAATAAAAAAGGTTAAAAGGATAATTATGATAGTGATTCACCATCAAATATGATTCTTTATCAGTGTTTTGCAACGGCAACTGAATTTTTTTCCTTTAGTGCTAAGATTTACTTAAAACTCATAATCCCCTAAGAAATAAGTGAATTAGATTTATTGTACTACTTTGCTCAAGAAATTGAACTGATAGATTTGGCAAAAAATATTTCAGTTCAATCCAGTCAAGAATTGAACTGACAGGTTTGGGAAAGACTTTTAAGAGATATACACTTTTAAGAAGTGTATAGAATGAAGTGTTAACCAAAAAAAAATCTATAAATTGTTATTCTAAGCTATCCTAATTCATGGGTCACATTATCTAGCCAGAGTCTCTTTTTCAGGAATTGCCATTTTTTAATCTTCACATTAGTAGTGAATACTATGGTTCATTAAAACAAATGAGACTCCTTCATCTGTCTCTGTCATGGAACTCAGGATTGTCATTGGTATGAATTTAACTCTGACAACCAGAGTCAATATCCTGTTACAGTCTTCCTTAGACCAGCCTGCTCTATCTTAGCTTAAATATGATAAATGTGGCTATATTAAAGTGACTTTAATAATGTGACAAATAAAACCCAAACCCAGCAAAAGGAAGGGAATAAGAAAGACTAGAACAGAAGTAAGTGATACACAAACTAAGAAAGCAATAAGACAGATTAATGAAACAAGTTCTTTGAAAAGATCAGCAAAAAACAAAATCACTAATGAAAAAAGAAAAATAACAACAAACATTACAGAAATACAGTTGTAACAGAATGTTATGAAAATATACATGCCAACAAATTAGACAACTAAGAAGAAATGGATAAACTCCTAGAAACATGTAATCAAAAGTAAAGAAGGAAGAAATAGAAAATTTAACAGACCAATTAACAAAAATGAAATGAGAAGCAAAAAACTCTCCAAAAAGAAAAGTCCAGGACCAGACGGCTTCACAGCGAATTCTACCAAACATTTAAAGAAGAGTTAACAACTATTTTTCTCAAACTATTGCGAGAAGCATAAGAGGAAAGACTTCCAAACTCATTCTGTGAGGCCAGTATCACCCTTATACCAAAACCAGATAAAGACACCAAAGAGAGAGAGAGAGATGACTATAGGCCAATATCTCTTATGAATATAGATGCAAATATCCTTAACAAAATATTAGCAAACCAAATTCAACAATATATTTAAAAAATCACACCACGATCAAGTGGGATACAAGGGTAGTTCAATATTCACAAAACAATCAGGGTGGCTGGGCGGCTCAGTCAGTTAGGTGTCTGACTCTTGATTTTGGCTCAGGTCATGATCTTGCAGTTTGTGGGTTCAAACCCCGCATTGGGCTCTGTTTTGACAGCACGGGAGCCTGCTTGGGATTTTGTTTCCCTCTCTCTCTCTGCCCCTCCCCTGCTTGCCCTCTATCTCTCAAAATAAATAAATAAAACTTTAAAAATATGAAAAAATATTCACAAAACAATCAACATGATATGTCACATCAATAAGAGAAAGAAAAAACATATAATCATTTCAACAGATTCAGTAAGAGCATTTGACAAAGTACAAAATCTATTCATGTTAAAAAAAAAAACCCCTCTGCAAAGTAGGTCTAGAGGGTACATACCTCAACATCATAAAGGCCTTATATGAAAACCCACAGCAGCATTGTACTCAATGGAGAAAACCTGAGAACTTTTCCCCTAAGGTCAGGAACAAAATAAGGATGTCCACTCTCAACATTTTTATTCAACATAGTACTGGAGACCCTAAGCACAGCAATTAGACTACATAAAGAATAAAAGATCCAAATTGGTAAGGAAGAGGTAGAACTCTATTTGCATATTACATGATACTTTATATAGAAAACCCTAATGACTCCACCAAAAAACTACTATAACTGATAAATGAATTCAGTAAAGTAACAGGATACAAAATCAACAGAAATTGGTTGCATTCATATATACTTATAACGGAGAAGCAGAAAGTGAAATTAAGAGAACAGACCTACTTGGGGCCCTGAGTGGTTCAGTCAGTTAAGTGTCCAACTTCGGCTCAAGTCATGATATAACAGTTTGTGGGTTTGAGCCCTGCATCGGGCTCTGTGCTGACAGCTCAGAGCCTGGAGCCTGCTTCAGATTCTGTGTCTCCCTCTTCTCTCTGCCTCTCCCCTGCTCACTCTCTGTGTCTCTCCATATTATATAAAAAATAATTTTTTTTATAAGAAAACAATCCCACTTACAATTGCATCAAACCAAAAAATATATCTAGGAATAAATTTAACTAAAGAGGTGATAGACTGTGCTCTGAAAACTATAAAACACTGATAAAAGAAATTCAAGATGACACAAAGTAATGGAAAGACGTGCCATACTCATGGGTTGGGAGAATATTGTTAATATGTCTGTACTCCTCGAAGCAATCTATACATTTAATGCAATTCCTATCAAAATACCAACTACATTTTTTTTTACAGAACTAGAAAAAGCAATCCTAAAATTTGTATAGAACCACAAAAGACCTTGAATATCCAAAGCGATCTTGAAAAAGAAAAACAAAGCTGGAGGTATCACAATCCGAGACTTCAAGTTATATTACCAAGCAGTAGTAATTAAAACAGTATGGTAATGAAATAAAAATAAACATATACATCAATGGAATAGAATAGAAAACCCAGAAATAAACCCACAATTATGTGGTCAATTAATCTTTGACAAAAAAAAGAATATTCAATGGGAACAAGGCAGTCTCTTCAACAAATGGTGTTGGGAAACCGTGACAGCTACATGAAATGTAATAAAACCAAACTGCTTTCTTTTACCATACACAAAAATAAACTCAAAATGATTAAATACCTAAATGTGAAACCTGAAGTCATAAAAATCCTTGAGGAGAGCATAGGCAGTAATCTTTTTAACATCAGCTGTAACATTTTTCTAAGTATGTCTCCTGAGGAAGGGAAACAAAAGCAAAAATAAACTATTGGGATTACATGAAAATGAAAAGCTTCTGCACAGTGAGGGGAACAATTAACAAAACTAAAAGGGAACCTTCTGAATGGGAGAAAATATTTGGAAATGACATCCAATAAAGATTTAGTATCAAAAATATATAAAGAACTGATAAAACTCAACAGACAAAAAAATAATCCAATTAAAAAGACATGAACAGACATTTCTACAAAGAAAGATGGATAAACACACACATGGAAAGATGCTCAACATCCCTCATCATAAGGAATATATAAATCAAACTACAATGAAATATCACCTCACATCTGTCAGAATGGCTGAAATCAAAACCACAAGAAACAACTATTGGCAAAGATGTGGAGGAAAAAAAAAA